CCGCTTCGCGGACGATAGCAAACCCCCCCGGTCTGACCCTGCGCTTCTCCGACAGCACCCCTCCCCCGGGCTTACAGACTCACCGTAAATCACCGCCGCCCGCCGTCTGCACACGCCGTCCACTCTCCAGGCCGACGTCCGCGTCATCCCATCCAGGTGAGTAACATTCGGGGTGCCGCTCTCAGCGAATCTGCCGCTCCAGGCAAACGCCTTGTTTGCCTCGCGGCAGATACGCCCCTGCACATATGGCCTAACACCGAGCTTCAGCTCTATGGATGGGCTTTAATGCATCCAGCCGGCCTGCTGTCATGTGCTAATGGCACACTCACTTGTGTTCTCCCAGTAAAGTTACTGTCAATAATAGTTGCCGGTCACCATTTAAAAGTGGGAGCCAGTGGGACGGGCTCCCAGTCATGTGGCTGCTGTTAAAGCCAATCACAGCGTTTTACATGAACAGGAAGCCCACCTCTGACTTCCGTTGTTAACAACCCCTTAAAGGGCCAGCAAGAGCCGGAAGATTGCATAGAATTGACTAATCAAAGAAGAAAAGAACATACTCGGTTGAATGCAAAATCCAATTTCTTTCCCACCTTAGAATTTGGAGATAGTCAATCAGCTGATTAAGAGTAATTTATTGATTCGCGAAAATTAGACATCAAAGGCAATATCAATAGTGCCAGGGGACTTTGAGGAAATACCCAAGGTCTAAACAAACCCCTGATAATTACTTTTTAATACAGAGAATGAGACTGATGAGGATGGAGAAGGTTGATTAACTAAAGGCAGATGTCTGTTCACTTTGCAAGGCATGTTCCCCTAGCTTAGATGAGGAAGCTCTACTGACTTCCATCATAAAAACTTGTCCAAGCAAACGAAAATACGGCTACTCTTATGTGTTCCTTGATTGGGTGTTCTTTACAAAGTGACTTTTCACCACATTCACTAAGCTAAGGGAAACGTTGCTTGCAAATTCCCTCACAAAGTGAGCAGACCTTTTTTGTTTTTAAGACACCCCCACAGAGTCCTCAATCTCCTCCTCCCAGGATGGCCAACCCTTACTTCTGTCCCCCTCCACTCCAGATGTTGGAATGTCCCTCGGTGTGGGCAAGTGAATGGACCTTCTGAAGATGTGATTGTGACAATAAAGAGATTTGGGCATCTCAGTATTAATTAGAACATTACATCTTCCTCTCATTCAGCTTATTGAAATTCATCACTTCTAGATGTAAGTACATCAGAACCCATCAAATATGTTACATAAACATATAGTTACATAGTATTTGAGATGGAAAATATATATATGCATCTGTTTAAAAGAGTCTGTAAGGCTTCAATTCACCCAAATGACCAGGACAACAGAGTTTTCAGGCCTCCCTTTACGGTTGGTGTGGTTTGGCCCAGGCTTAGCTGTTTATTGGTACCCATCATTATCTTTAATGAAAGTCAACAGCCAGCACACAACAGATTCAGCTCATCTCTTACAGATAGCCTGGTCTGATAACAAAGGAATCCCACTCAGGCTAATAAACTTAAGTTCCAATCTTACTCAATATTCATAACTCCAGACCTGGGGCCGCACCCTCCCAGTGATGACATCCGCGCTCCTTAGACCACCAGAGCCCAGTGACAGCCAAGAAGGACAGAGGATCAGGTGAGTAATACAGCTTTACCAGTGTTCCCTGGACAAAATAAGCACTTAACCCGTGCAGCGCAGGGGTAGCCCCACTGCAAGGGTATGTTTTTTCTTAAAATACTCCTTCCCCTCCCAAATTAGTTATCATTTTAATTGACAGATTGTGTTATTATTCTTCTGGATAGTGAGTGGCTTCACACTCCACATGCAATTTGAACAGGTGGCATTCTGGGAACTTCCAGAGATCAGTACTATTGCAGCCACTTTACAAGTCATTTTGCATTTGTGCTCCCTACAGCCCCCTTAAAATGTACTTAGGCCTCATTTCACATTTCTCACTTATTCTTTTCTCTTAGTTTCATTATAAAAATGTGCATTAGAGGGTCCAGTATAAAAGAGCAAGCTACTGTGGAAGAAATCAATCAACCCAGCAAGTCTAGAGCATATTTGTCTTTCATTGGCTTTAGTAAGCAACAAACCACAGGCTACTGCCTGCAGGGTTCCTGAGGGCTAAACAATAGGGTCCAATGGCCACAAGTAGAGCACCAATGCTCTAGGCAGTGAAGTGAGGATTAGGATGAAGATGACAGCCATGGAGCCTGCAGTGTTGTTTCATGTCCAATGCTTCCATTTATTGGCAATGATTTGCATCAATTAGATTCTCGGTCTTACGATGCTACCAGTCTCTGGGCAGACTTCTCACAACTGATTCCCCCCAATATCGTTATACAACCTCCCCCTTGCCCTACACATACCCCGGCATGGATCGGCTCAGTGAAGGTGGTGGTGAAGGTGTGGAGGTGTCGGATCGGGTCACACAGATCATAAAAGGAGATCCGCCCGGCCTCATAATCCAGATCTATCCTGACTCTGTTACTGGAGACATTGCCGGGTAATGGGATCTTCTTCCTGTTATGTATCACTGAGTATTGATTATAACCCCACTTCCTCTGCAAACCCCAGGACTTCTTATTTTCTCCAATCACTGACTGATATTTTCTCCTCTCTATAATGGGGTAACACATCCCGACTATACAGTTTCCTGACCACCCGACATCCACTTCCCAGTAATGTCGCCCTGAGGAGAAACTCCGACTGCTCAACACCTGAGGACACAGAAATCTCTCTGCAGTTTCTGGACGATTTTGACTCTCCCATGACCAGGTTGCAGTTTTCCCGTCATCTGATATATGTAGAAGATCACCGGCTGTGTTCACATCCAGTAATATGTCTGTAACCCCCGACACCCCCGATGTACCCTGCACAGCCCCAATATTTGGTCCTCCAGCCTGGAGGTATGAGCATTGTACAGTGGGGGAAGGTTGGGAGTTTGGCCTTAATAGTTCAGTATCGCAGTGAACTTTGTCCTCTGTACTAGAATGTGGACAGACATGTGTTCCTGGACATTTCTGTACATTTACCCCAGACATGATATCCATTATTGTGTATAATGTGATTGAGATTGCAGCCACACCTAGATTCACTCCATCATGGAGGAGTCTATCATGTCTCTCTCTGTCCTCATCATCTCCATCCTCAGTATCACACAAGTCACCTGTGTCTGATTTCTGTAAGACAGTCAGTGGATCCGTCATGTTACACAGCTCCTCAATGTGATGCATCTTCCTGGACAGCTCGTCCTTCTTTATTTTTAGCTGTTGGATTAGATCAGACATTGCCAGTGAAACCCGCTCTGCCCGCCTGGAGATCTCCCTGTGGGCTCCCTTCTCCATGTCTTCCAGCTGTCTCTTGAGGTCTCTGATCAGAATAGTGATTTTTGCCTTTTCAATGACTGCTTTTCTTTTTCATTTACTCCTGTTATCCTCCAGACTCTGGACTCTTTTCTCCGTCTCCTCTCTCTTTGTCGTCAGCTTCTGTATAACGTTTGTTAACTTTTTCTTCTTCATCTCAGAGGCCTCATCCAGAGTCTCCACCTGATGTCCTTGATGTTCTCCATCCAGCCTGCAGGACACACAGATACAGACAGAGTCCTCAGTGCAGTAATACTCCAGGATCTTCTTATGGACGGAGCATTTCATGTTCTCCAGGGAAGTGGTGAGGTCACATAAGACGTGTTCTGGTGCCTTGCTGTGGACTCTCAGGTGGTTGTCACACAGAGAAGCTTCATACATCAGACAGGATTTCACAGCAGGTACAGGAGTGTGAAAACAGTAAGTACAGAGGACCCCGGACTCCTCCCGATCTGGCTGAGCAGACAGGAAATTCTCCACTATGTTACGCAATTTCAGATTCCTCTGAGAAGCAGGACGTTTCCCGAACCTTTGTTTACATTCAGGACAGGAATAACCTCCAGACCTTTCCTGTGTATCTAGCACATGACCAATACAGCCCCGGCAGAAGTTGTGTCCACATTTCAGGGTTACAGGGTCTGTATAAATGTTCAGACAGACGGAACATTCCAGTTCAGCTCTCAGATTAGCAGATGCCATCGCTGACAGCAGAAGAGAGAAATGAAGATGAAAGCCTCTGAAACTCATTAACCAGTGTTATTGGTTCTGTACACTCCTACACAGGGCGAGGCTGAGACCCGTATTCATAGGAATCCTTATACAGAGGACACAGATAATACATGGGAGGATTCCTGACAATAATCTCCATATCTGAGGATAATAAAGGTCATTTAATAATCTGTGGAAATGTTGTGTCAGGAATTTCCCTTCATATCATTAGCACATTTCACAGACAAAGGAAGACAAAGGTGATGTATTTGGCTGTAATAAGACAAGTCATAGGGCGATGTATTTATTTCCTGGTAAATTCCTTTATAATTCTGCTCCCAATCACACTTAGACCATGTGTTTCATATTTTACCTCTCCACGGGTAGCTTTGCCATTGAGGCCTCCGGAAGAGTCCATGGAGAACAATACACAGCTGCAGTTAAAACACTGTATGTAGTTGCACTGCAATGCCCAGCCCACAGTCACAGATTTTGAGCAAAGTCATTCAGATCAGCAAAAAATTCTGGACCTTTTACAGGACTCTCAGAATTGTCAGAACAGTCTACTGAGAGCCCGAGAAAAGAAAGTCCATGAGCCCTAACACTTGTGGGTGCCACAGACCTAATACGGAGGTAAGAAACACATCAAGGAGTAAAACCAATTCATACTTCTTACAGAAAACACTGCCCAGCGAGACTTGGAGGCCACCACTGCCAACAACTTTTCCTGGCTAAAGACAAATCCACACAGCACCTGACCCTAGGTGGCACTAGTAGGGAGTGCACATCTGATGGTGATAACATATTTTAGCTCATAAAATAGAAAAGGGCAGCACCCCATAATGAGCCTCAGTTGTTCATTGAGGGCTCATCAAGATAGAAGAGAGAAAAGTGGCAAAAACATATTCCTCCACCATCGTTTTGGGGCCTCGCAGGACCCCTTTCTTAAGGTGACAGACACTTGTCTATCACCTTCCTCTTCTGAGGGGATGTATTGTAGGACTTTTCTAGGGATGAGAACCAGCTCAGCTGCTTTTCCTAAACTCCAATACGTGTCATGGTGGCGAGAATTTTACATGGCTGTATGTTATAAAACAATACAGACAAGGATGGGGGGGTCTCGAAAAGGAGATGTCCTTCACTGACAGATACAGTAAGTATATTATTGGGGAATATATTGGGCATTATTATACGGCTCGCATCTTACACTAGGATAATAATTGTCATCGTCTCCTGATCTCCAGAGAGGGTTCCAGGTTCTGTCTCTCTCTGAGGTGCTTGGCTCCCAGCCAATCCACTCTCAGCCTCTCTCATATAGAGATAGCATACCTGTTGCTCGGTGTATGGGCATTGTCTCCCTTCACTACTTTATGAACCTCCTGTGTTTCCTAAGTTTGCATTGTGGTTCCTGAGGAACCTCATAGTTATCTGTACTGCTGATCCCAATGCTTTCCCCGGCATTTCCAGTGTGCTTCTGCCTTCATTCCAAGAGACTCCTGCTTTCCCTGGACTCCTCTTTGCTCTCAGTGTCCTTTTGCAATTATCCCGGGAGCCCCCTTGTGCTTTCCCTGGACTCTCTTGCACTCCCAGCTTCTGATTTTATCCCAAGAGTCTCCATTGTGCTTTCCTTGGACTCTCTTGCACTCCCAGCTTCTGTTTTTATCCCCCCAAGAGTCTCCATTGTGCTTTCCCTATACTCTCTTGCACTCCTAGTGTTCTTCTGCATTAATCATTGAATCCTGAACCACAGTGCAGCAGCCGTTCCACTTCTCTGTGTACCAGTAAGGACTTCTTTTTCTGTGTTCCACTTTACCCTGAATCTTAAGCGCTGCAACATCCCAGAGAACCCTCCTGACCATGACACCTCCCCTGACCTGGAATGTGGGAAATATTGTGACTAATTTTGGGTCATGTGACCCTTAAGGCTCCTCCTCATCAGTCCTGGAACAGTGGAGGTGGAGTATCTTCTACAATAATTTAAATTCAGCCTAAGAGTTATTTTCCAGATGATAGTCATATGACCTCTGTTGCCTCGTAGTGTCACCTGTAATCCAGTAATTCATCATTCAGAATGGAGTCTTTGCGGAGGACAAATAGCACCAACCTATGCAGCAGCGGCTGTGACCTTATGTTCCAGGTCTATCACTTAGTGCTGCCACATGAATGTCAGTGCAGTCCCATCTTCCCATCCCCCAGGTCTAGGTTGTGTACCCATATCCATGCCATGTACACCCCCTGATGGTTGCCTTACCTCACTCTAAAGGGTGTCTAATGAGGACACAGATATTTCCAGAATGTCCTCAAGAGTCCAGAGAAGAGGACACTTACCATCTGGGATGTCACTCACCATACTTCCTCTGTGGAGTTTTTAGGGGCCCCTCTAGTGACCATCAGACCTGAAGGGAAATACAGTGATCTATGACTGGATGGACTGAATGTGCCCTCTTCTAACAGCTCCTTTCACAGGCCGAGTCCCACCACAAACCATCCTGGACTTATTTATCACATTGTCTGTATGAAGAACTGTTCCTGTTGCCTAATCCCAACCAATCAGATGCAACATCCTCTTTCTGTAGGTGACCCTCAAGGTTCTGTCCTTGGATCCCTTTCCTTCTCTATCTACACCTCCTGGCTTCCTATAGCCCAAAGGATCAAATTCAAAATATTAACAACCACTTACAAAGCCATCCACAACTCAGCCCCGGCTATATCTCCAACCTTGTCTCAAAGTATCCCCCTAACCGTCCCCTCCACTCTTCCAAAGGCCTCCTAGTCTCTAGCTCCCTCGTCAACTCCTCCCATTCTCGCCTCCAGGACTTCTCTAGAGTCTCTCCCATCCTATGGAACTCTTTACCCCAACTTGACCATCTATCTCCCACTCTGACTGCCTTTAGGCGATCCCTTAAGACTCATCTCTTCAGGTGAAGGCGATCCCACCTCAACCTAATCGCTCAACCATCACATTCTCAAACAATTCATCCCCCACACAGCTCCCTCCTCATGTATCACAGGCCCCTCCCTTTTAGATTGTAAGCCCTCAGGGGCAGGGCCCTCCTTACCATCTTGTCTTGAATTGTATTGTAATTGTAATGTCTTCCTTATATTGTACAGCGCAGCGCACACTGTTGGCGCTCTATAAATCCCGTATAATAATAATATATAATAATGATAATCATAACATGCACTGGAGAAATACAGATGAATAATGAAAGGATGAGTGCGGCTGGATGGTGAGGGGCAACACAGACAGTTCTGCCTTCAGACATAAATGAGGCTGTACAGTGAGGTAGTTTGGGGAACACTGACCAATAGAGAAGGAAGAAGAACCCCACCACCCAGCATCCAACACAACCTGTCCTGTAGATTGTCAGCTCTTATGGTCAGAATGCTCTCACCTCGTGTTTTGCTGTTTGCTGCATTATGTGTGTTTTGTGATTTTTCCAGAATGTACAGCGCTGTGGAATGTGTCAGTGCTATAGAAGTAAACAGTAATAATAATAAAACATAGAACAGTCACAACCTTTGGCATTGAGCGATAAACTTTATTGGAGGTGATCTGTAATCATTAACACTCCGCACACAACTGATATGAAAAGGGCTTGGTACATCTCCTCTGCTCACCAAGTGCCCCTCCCACGCCAACGCTGGGCCAGGAAATGTGTATGGATCCTGTACGGGTCACCATACAGGAGAACATAGTGAGCTGATTGCTTTGTATTGCTCCCGTGACTAGGCTCTGCTGCAAACCTATTCACCTTCATGGTTCCCCTGGTGGGTCTCTGCTACACCGCCTGAGATGTCTGATAGGCCGAGATTCCATCTCACTTCCAAACATCTAATCTCCATTTCTTCCAGATCCACCAATAAACAGACAACAGCTATGCAGGAAGAACGATCGTAACAATCGAAAATATAGAGATAATAATGTACATTAATATATATTATAGGGACAATCTGATCCAATCACACATGTGATACGAGATCACACCGCTATATACACAGAGAGATTACATTGTATATTAAAGGAGAACTATGAGATGAGTGATTTCCACTCCTCCTCATAGTTCTAGCCGACCTGTGACAATGAGACTGTCACAGGTCGGCTCAGTAGATCGGGAGGTGAGAGAACACATACCGGCGTTCGCTCGCCTCTCGATCCTGTCACAGCTCTCTGCCGTGACAGGGGAGGGGCTGGATTCCCCCCTTCCCGCTCCAATCTGCCAGCGCTGACTGGCGGAACGGACGGGGGAGGGGGCGGGTACAGCTGGCTCTGCCTCTAGATAGGAGGAGCCAGCTGTCACTCACGCAGCTGGGCGGATCTCGACCTCGATGTCGGGATCCGCTCCGGCTGCGGCGTCTCAGTATACCGCGAGCTGTAGCTCCCTATATACTGAGCCTAGGGTGACGGGAGGACGCTAGTTTGTGTCATCCCGTTACCGTAAGGAGAACTATGGGGAAAAACACGGACCCCATAGTTCTCCTTTAACCACTTGCTGTCCGGAGCAATCTCTTACATTTGCACACACATGATGATAAAATTTGACTTTTTGGCTAGAAAACAGCTTCAGACCCCCAAACAATGATATATTTTCTGAAAGCCGAAGCCCTGGAGAATAAGAAAATGCTAGTTGCAATTTTTTATGTCACACGGTATTGGAGCAAATGTTTATCAAACCTGTATTTTTAGGATAAAAATACACTAAAATGAAATTTAGTGCGCAGAAACAGAATATAACACCCAATTTTTTGGTAACATATAAAAGACGGGGTCACGTCGGGTGAATAGATACCAAACATGCCAAGATTTAAAATTGCTTTCGCCCGTGAAACCGCAAAAAAACACTACAATGTCCAAAATTTCCCATAGGGCAATGCCTTAAAAGCTTTTACTACTCATTAGTTTAGTGCTAACAGTGACTGATGGGCCTAGAATTATTTCCTCTCACTCCGACGTTCGCAGCGATATGTAACATGTGTGGTGCAATTTTTTT